GGGCTTTTATAATATACGCACATGTTTATATTTTTCTTTGATACAAAAATAGAATGTGTTAACTGTGTAAAAACAGGTGTTTAAAGCAAGTGCGCTCCCCGTGACAAGAGAAAATGTCTTATTCTCCCTCCTGCAAACAAGCTTTAGCTACCCCAGTTTCATTTTATGATTAAAACTATGCACAAGGCCATGCTACATGAGAATAGACTGGTTAGTTCTGCCTGCCATATTACTGAGAGCAGAAATCCACCAAAATAACGCCAAAAAGCGGCCGATCTGTTGTACCTCTCCCGAGCGAACTAAGCATAGAGACACGAAGAGAAAGGTGCCATCGTGATCTCTGGTATTTTCTTTATGCGATTAAGCTACTTAGAACCAGCTACATCACAGTATATTATTAATACGGCTCATCAAACATAACAATTCTTCATGATTTTCACCATTTTGATGCAAATTCATGCAATTTCATGCAATTTCATGCATTAATAATCACACAGTCTGTACAAGTGACGTCATCAGTTTCCAATCCCGGTTACGTAGTCTATAATATGCTTATATCTATTTATGGCTATGCGCTGCCCTGCGTCAAAAGGAATGGACTTTTATAAATCAAAAATAAGCTCAACTGGGCCATATTTCACATGGTTCTCCAAGTAAATATTTTGCTAAGTTTGATATCTAGGTCGTGTCGTGGCATTCTTTTGGCTGGACTTAGTAGAAACGGAGATAGTCACACCATAGATCTATTTGGCGGCCATTTTAGTGCGTTTTTCAGCATTCTTGACTGATTTTCTGAGGTTAAGAAGAAAGAAAGCAAAAAATCTCATCGTGACGACCTTCATTTTTGCCTCAAGAAGAGCTACCATTTGTTTTAGAGACTTTTGTTGTTCAGGACTGGAGATTTTTGATTTATAAGTGTTTATAATTAACCCAGCCTATATCAAGTACAGTCATTCTGTATAAGATGAACAGATTACCTTATATAAGAAACAAATCATTAAAAACGATAGTAGTAATGAAAGAAGTGTCATTTTTTAAAAAGATAACAAATGAAAAAACAATTGACTACAGCTAATTAATTATTCATAAACTGTATCCCGTAACCTTAAGTTGATAGATAGGGTCCACGATCAACAGGTCGTCGAGGTCTTGTCGAACGACGGGCTGCTGGGAGAGGCTGTGACAAATTTGGTGGAGGTGGAGGAGGCCTTGGTTGATCATCCACAGTAATTGGGAATGGTGAGTAAACTACCCAATCATCATCTAAATCAACATCATCTGGTGCAGGTGGTTCGCAATGTGGAGATCGATATCTTAACTGATCAACATGTCGTCTGAATTCAATACCATCAGTGGTCTTAACAATGTAGGAGACTGGTCCTGTGACCTTAACAACAGTAACAGGAATCCATGTTGGAGTACCACGATAATTCCTAGCAAATAATAATAATAATAATAATAATAATAATAACAACTTTACAAAAACAAAGACAAAGTTAACAAATAAAAGCAAAAGTTGGTAAAAAAATGGTGTCTCTGAAGGACTCAATGACCGAATCAGAGAGCCTAAAATTAAATTAAATTACACTACATTAAAAATTAAATTTAGATTTAAAACAGAACATAATATTAAAATGAGGAAAAATTAGGAGTTTTGGGGGAGTGAGAACATTTATTACATGGACATGATAAGTGATAGGTGCATGGGTGGTCAACATTATAAGAGATGAGAAAATGATTCCATAGAAACTTTTTCACCTTTATACAGTTTGTAGTGGGAGAGAGACTTAAATCGAATGATGGCAGCCCATTCCAAAGCCTAGGGAGCCTATGGAAGTAGGAGCCAGAAGTTTGAGAAGATGAAGTGAGCCTGTGATGCAGCTTGTGATGATGGCCAGTTCTTGAGCTTGCTTGACTAAAGGAGATATAACT